GCAGATGATGGTGCTATAATGTTAAAAAAAAAATAAATGCTGCAGCCATATGTAAAATACATCTAAAATTATAGTTGCATCACCTCCCACATCAGAGTGTTGTCATCATATGTTTTGATCTCACTGGTGTTCACATGTTTTCCTTGGAAAGGTCCGAAACGGGTGCCTTTAGGGATGCTGATCTTATCTGTGAAAACTCCACAGTGGTAAGCACTTCCCCATGCAGCCTGGAGGACAATCAGTCCTGCAACAAAACATCAAAATTAAAAACCTCTAATATTACATTGTTAGAAAAGATCAAATATGGCATTAACTTACCCTCTGGAAGCGCCTGAGTTTCTTTGTCCAGCAGGGAAATGGGGGAATCAGAAGCTAAAAGGCAAAGCACAAAATTAAGGCTGTATATAGATAGTTATACAGTAGAATAGATAAACTGTATTCTGGAAACATTTTTATCGATGAACTAATTATATTATTCTTTTCTATTATATTTCAAATTATCAATTGTTTTGGGTTTTTTTTGCATTTAAGCTTTATTTATACTTTCACCTATGAACTACTAAATAGACAAATACATACTTAGCAGATTATCTATTTGTTGAATCTCGCCACAAAATAAAATCATGAAACAAATACTAAAATCATTTTTCAAGCATTTCAACAGAAAGAAAAACTTAATTATGTAACAACACTTTCCATAAATAATTGGGTAATATAGTTTATGATACATTTTAAATTAAAAGTTGATATCTAATTGTTAATACTGAAATAATTCAGTGCTTTGGGGCTTCAGAACAGGAAATAATAAAATAATAATAATTTATTTTATTTTTTACAATTTACCTGAGTTTAATATTGTTTTATAACAAATATTAAATAGGGTTTTTAAATAACCAACATATCTATTATTATTCTATTTCTTTTTTGTTTTGTCTAAGATTAATTTTATTCTGTCACCTACATAAATATTATTTTAATTATGGCTCTATGTTAAGCATCAAGTTATAGTTGCATCCAGGGCGCTTACCTGAGTTTTCCTGCAGGGTCAGTCCTGATATAGCGTGGCCCCTGCTGCCCACCTGGTCCCCATAGTAACCATAAAGCACCATAAACAAGTCCTCCTTGCTGAAGTTAAAGGATGGAACCTTTTTCTCCGTGTTCGGCCGAAACAAGCTCTCCTTGCGCGGCGTGGAGGAGGAGCAGACAGATGGAGAGCTGACGCTGGACGGGCTGCTGAAGTCTGAGGACAGCGGTCCGGCGGCGTGCTCCGTCACCACCGCGGCCAGCTCCTCCGGCCTGGAGTACTGAGCGTGTCCCGGAAACATCTGGCTGCTGTACGGCAAGCCAGACGCGCCGTGAGATACGCCTACGTGGAACCCGAGGGGCAGGGAAGCTCGGGCGTCCGACACCAGCCGATCGAGTGACTTGAGCGGGTGGAGGAGACTGTGTGTCCGTGGGTAGAGGTCCATGTAGTGGTAAGGAGTGGGGAAGAAACCCTGGAGAGGACTGCTCTTCAGCATCTCCGCGTGGTAGCTCCTCTCCTTCAGCATGGCAGAGACGATGGAGACGCACACACTTTTACGCACGGAGGTTTACGGATCCTGAAGGGTGAGTGATACAAGTTTTACGCATTTATTGGTTTAAAAAAAAGAAGCAATTATATACTTTCCAATTTTATTAAAAAAAAATTGTATTCAGCTATTAGTTTTCAGCTTTGAAAAAAGGTAAGGAAGACATAAAATCTTTTTGAATTTCATTGGTTTCGTCTAAAAGTTGCAGACATCTCTCCAACTAATCTCTTCTTCAGTTCTATGGGTTTTGGAGATTTCATTTTTTTTTAAAGTCCTGCCACTGCGGGGTTTCCTGTCACAAATTATTTATGGAAGAAGAATCAGGACAGCTGCAGCTTTAACATTCTCTCATAAAGATGAATCAATAGATTGTCAAGGTTTATGTTTAAAAGCCTTACAATATTTCTCAATGATTTGACAGGAAACTATCTGGGGATGTTTGGACTTTTGTAAGAATGCCTGAACCCAGCTGTTAGAAAACAGAGGATTAAAAAAACAAAAAAAAACAAAAAATCAGGGCAGCCGATTTTGCAATATTTCCAGCTGAGAGGTCACACACCTTACACAGCTGAACTGTGAGGGGGCCCCATGGAGGAACCAGTCCCACCCCAAGCCAACCAGTAAATAGAGACAAACCAGGGTCATGACACCAATCACAAAATAGCCGGTCGGAGCAGAGGTCAGCATTAATGGAGCATTTAATGGACCTTTACCAATCCTGAACAATAATTTACTGAACGGCGGGAAGGAGCTCTGGAAGACGCCGTGCGTCATGATCCGCGCGTAAGTCTTAATTTTGGGGGAAATAATAGCTTATTGATTTCTTTTTATTAGAAGAAGAAAGATAAATACTAAACATAAGGGGGAAAAAAAACTTTTGATCTCTAATAAAGGAAATAAAACTTACCGGTTTTCAGTCAGCCAAAACCCCTGGATGGTGAAGTTTAATCCATTAGAGCTTAGCTTTACTAACCCTAACCTGGGTGCGTTTCTGGTTATCTGAGGGAACCTATCAGGTTCCGGTCCGCTGAAGATGCTTCAAACCTTTTTCCTCCTTCCTTCCCATTGGCTGAGGAATCCACTCAACCTCATGCATCTCAATGTATCTGCGTGGGACAGCCCACCGAGTGAACCTATCCACGGTTCCATTCTGATTAGGGAGATTTTCTCTAAGCTTTCCATCGACAAATACACACATAGGCTTCAACTAGAGAAATTAAGCATAGATATACAGTTTTACAAATAAAATAAAATATACAATGGCAGGTCTATGGTACATTTTTTTGTCAGTAATGTCAGTATTTCATAAACTATTCAACAATAAAAAAGTATTTAAATTCTTTTTTACTCAGCATGCAGAATGATCACACTTATCTTTGATGGTTCCAGGTCATTTTGTTACCAGCTTTGCCCCAATTGGTATCCATCAGGAGTTGTTTGGCAGTTTAAGTAAAGTCTAGTCACTGAGCTCTTTTAACTCTAATATTTATCAGCAGTAGGTCACTCAGACTTGTTTGCTTTTCATTTCTATTTGTGGCCAACAGTATCAACAGACTCAACATTTTTTCCCTACTGTCCAAATCAGTAGATTCAATTTACCAGTGTTTTATCGTGGGAGCAAAGAACAAGAGTATAACACAAAAAACAAAGGGAGAGCTAATTTTCTGTTCTTAAGTGAGACACAGTCTGTCATTTCTGTAATTTTTAACCCTTTAAAGCCCGATCCAAGAATAAAACAAAACAGAAAATTACTTTTTTTTGGTTTGAAGTCCTTATTTGGCCTTTTAACAAAATACGTAAAAAGAAAAAACAGAAATACATTTTTGATAATAATTTATGCAATAAGTCAAGATTATTTTTTGTGTAGTCTTCTGCCCTCTGTTATCAGGTATATCTGATTGTGTACAATAGGATTTTGAGCAAAGTCTTTACCATTAGATTATGCAAAAGGTGTCAGACGCAAATCATTTCAGAAACCGTATGTATCAAATACGATACATTTGGCATTACAGGGTTAAATAAGTTTTAAGGTAAATTGTAAAGACATTTTTTTTTATTATTCCAAGGGATAGCTCCCTTACCGTCTCATTGTCAGCATATGCCATCATAAGAAACTGATTTTGTATTACAATGCAAAACTGATTGTTAAAATCAGTGCGTTTCCCCTTAATTTAAGCAGGTAAATAAAATGATCTGCCAAAACCAAAAGGAGGATTATGGCCATAAAAACATATATACTATGCCCCTGAAATAAGATTATAGTTTCTATTCTAACAGCAAACTGTCTTACCTACCTGCTTAAATGAAGGTAATATAGACATATTCTAAGTAAAATTAACTTCCATTTAAAGCCAATTAAAGGGAAATACAAGTTCCATGGGGCTACTGGCCCTTGTTATCTTGGTTAATTAACATCTAATGTTAACTCTACTGCATTTTATAGCAGTAGGGTAAAATGCTTGTCTTTGTTCAAAAGACTGTATTAACTGTAAAGACTGTCTTTTACATCAGCCTGTTTTCAGGGCCTTTTTTTGGCTACATATTTGTTATTTTTTGCTACATGCCTCCCCGTCTTCTTGCCATATGTTTCTATGGCATAAATCAGTGTCTGTGACCTGTTTTCATTTAAAAAAAAGAACATTGGCACAAACCTAGCCTGTATGTATTTTTTTGTATGTCATCGAGAGTATTTAAATGATTTTCAATCAGGAAAAAAATGTGCGATTAAAATGCGATTAATCGCGAGTTAACTCAGGCATTGATGCGATTAATCTCGATTAAAAAAATTTAATCGATTGACAGCACTTGAATAAATACATTTCAGAGGAAACTTGTCAGTTTTGTTAGTTATGACTCTTGTGAAACTCGAAATATTAACTTTCATTCCAACTTGATCCTTTAAAAAATTTCTGGAGGCAATTGAGCATGAAACAGCTTGAGCATTTTGGTAGAGAGCAGTTGACCGAGAAGCCTCAGTTTCGGAGAGGTAACCTAAAACTGAAACCAAAATTTTAAAATAAAACTAACAATAAGTTCAGACTATAAACATCTTTTCCTTCATTTAACACATTTCTATGTCATACGGCTTTTTCAGATGGATCAGATGCAGAAGCTTTTCTAACAGTTTTTTATATTTTAGTGTTTCAGATACAAAAAAAGAGAAAAAAATCAAATATGCATGTATGAAAAGCAAAGGTATTTGTTTGTTCTTCCATCATACTGCACAAATAATGCAATAATGAAACAATAAAAAAGTGATTTTTTTTGTTTTCAGTGAAATATAAAAAAATATATATATAAGTACACTACACACTTGCCATACTCTAAAATTTAATTTTCTCTTTATAAAATGTGTTAGTAAAACAAAATGTGTCTTAATATCCTTATGTTACGTACCCGTATAAAAATGAAAAGTTCAATTATGCATTATTTGCATTAAACAGAATTCTTTATTTACAAGGCAAATAGCATCAGCGAAGCCATATTAGTTCACAACTTGCATAACTGTGGTTTAACCTTCTCTTATATATCTAATTTTGCATAAAACACTCACACACACACACGTGCTCACGCGCATACACACACACACACCCGTGGGGTAACAAAGGTCAGATGGATGCAGGTATACAGTGCGACTCCTGTGGACAATGCAGAAAACTAAATTAAAGAACAAACAGTGATCTTTCTTCAGAAGAGTCCAGTATAATACATATTGCTTCAGTATCTCCGTTTATCCCAACATAGAAGAGCAATGATTGTGGTTGAGTGTGTGGGGAGGGGGGGTGGAAACTGTGAAGGTGTTCAGCAGCGGAGTAGAGGTGAATAGTGGTGCACCCATTCAATACTGTACAACCAGTCATTATACAAATTTATACAGACAGCAGTGTAACTTACAAGAACAAGAACAGGACGAAATCTAAGGCAATATGCTAGGGTGTTTAGCATTTCAAAGGGTTTGCATCTTAGCTCTAAGAAACCAGCAGACGATACAAAAAGGGCATTTAAAGTTCTGCAAAAGCAAACATTAAAGAGAAGAAAATATAGTGTGTAGTTAAGTGGGTCCAAAGTCTGAATATGTGCACTTCTTTTGCACCGGTCATTAGAAATTCTTTAAAAAAAAAAAAAAAATGCACTGCTACCACATGGCTTTTAAGTTTTTTTTAAATGCTGACAATCTTTGGAAATTTGCAAAGGGCTCTGAATCCTTTTAAAACGCCTGTTTAAGGAACGTCTCTAAAAGCTTTGTTTCGCATGGGTTGATTTTACAATCAAAACATTTCATAATAAAAAAAAAAGGCATGATTTAAGATAAACCCACGGCAAAACAGATACGGGGCAAGCGAAGAGGCAGAGCGGCATTCGCAGACACCTCTGAATTTTATCTTAAATTAAAAAATAAAAAAAGCCAACAGAAAAGCAGAAAAGAGCATGGTGTGATTGCATCCAGTAGGCCTTTAATGACAATACATTCAGAGTGAATCTATGATGAAAACCTGCATTTAGACCCTGCTGCTCGTTGACATCTTTCCTGTGTGGGCCTGATAACCAAGAGGTGAAAGAAATCCAATTGAAATGTAAAGAATCATTTGGCTTGATCAAAGTCTTTTCCTGGGTAAAATAGTTTATATAAAAAATTCTTTTAAGGTTAAAGAGGATGACTTGCTTTGGATCTAAACTCCCTTTTGGGGAAATAGATCAGAACGTCATCAGCGAACATTTTTTTTTTTTTACTTTAACTGCCTGAGGTCATAAAATATGGCTAAGTGTGTGTCAGAGCAGGCGCAGTCTCAACTCTGACCTCTGCGATAGAAGGCTGGAGGAAGAGAGGGCTCATTTTGATCATTAGGGGAAGGTGGGGTTGGGTTAAACTACATCCCCACACCAGGTCGCCCCCCCCTGCCTTCTTACATGGCTGCATAATTTATCAAGAACGTTGCGTTTGTATGGATCGTAGTCTTTTTCTTGGTACAAACTGCAGTAAAAAAACCGTGTCTAATACTGCCTCCAAATACAGAGCAAAAAAAGCTTCTTTTTTTTCTCTTTAAATTCAGGAAACTGTACAAAAATTACAAAAACAAACAAAACAGAAAAGGATTTTCAAGTAATTATTGCTTGTTTACATCACACCCAAACAGTTTGCACCTAGCAGCTTGTACGAAGCAATTTCACTCCAGACAACAAAGAAAGCACACTCTTTGTTATAGTTTTGACTTAATGTATGGCTGTGAGGATTTTTTTAAAACTCTTTTTTCTTGTATGTGTGTGTTCTATGCTAAAAGGCAGAGAAGCAAGCCGTAATCTGTACACTGTATACACAGCACACCCCCTCACCACCCACCTGCACCCCATGTCCGAGTCGTACCAGAATGTCAGGACTTCAGAGAACAACAACAACAAAAGAAGCAAGTATAACTGCTCTGCTTTAAGAGAGGCAGTAGTGACCAGTAAGGAATAAAATAAATAGGAAAGCAAAGGTTTTTACTCATCGGTATGTACAATTCATTTTGAACCATATTTGATTTTGACATCTTCTGAAACATCTGGACCAAGATTTTAATCCATAATTCAGGCGATTAGAAGAATCTTATCAACTATTATTGTGAAAAAAAAAACAGACAAAAAAAACCCCCAATAAAAAGTGCTTCTTTCACACTTTAAGGAATCTTCTTGCTACAAGGATAAAGAATCATCTACAATAATTAAAATGAATCTATACAGAAAAATAAAACTTAATTTAATACACTATATAAACCTCTTGACTAAATTATTCTAATAATAGAATTCCAATCAAATCATTCTGCAGTGTTTATCAAGATTCCCTCCCCGTATCTTCCATCTACATATTAATTTGGATAAGAAAAAAAAAAAAACATTTAGCAATAAAATAAAATACAGCAAACAGCATAAAGGAGGAAAACCCCACAAACAATTGAGCTCCGCTTTCTCTCTTTAACATGATCTGGGAGTCTCTGCTGCCGTTTGGAACCCATGAGGAACTGTCTCAAATGAGTGAAGGGAGAACCTTTCAGTCCGTCTCCGAGATGAGATTGTAGATGGCCGCTGTCCGCTGAGAGGAATACATTCATCACATCCACTGATGCCCCCTCTGCTCCCTGAAGTCAGTGTATCCCAACGAGAGGGCCCTACAGTAAGTCACACTACGGTGAATGCGGCTGGACGGGCAGGTAGGCTGGCCTGCTCACCCCTGTGTCAGTCTGGGCCCCGAGGGGTCAGCTTTGGGGGGGGAGGGCAAGGGGCTCAGGACACGGCATGGCTGGTCCAAGGGGCAGCCGGTTAGTTAGGAGTTTGTTTTAAAGATTCTTAAAGGGCCGACGCGCTCCCTGCACCAGCTGATCTCTGAGGTTGGTGTTATGAAGCTTCAGGTGGGTCAACAGTATTTCTGTGGACAAAACACATGTGTTAGTTTGAACGCTTAAAACAACTTTTCACATTTCCCACAAGTTTCATCACGTTAAACTTCAGTGTTTTAAAGAGTTATGATATTTTGGTTCTCACATTAATGTAGATTCAAATCAAGGGTTGAATTCTTATAATTCTCACTGAAAAAAAAAATAAATAAAAAATTCAGAGTCCTCCAATATTTGAATGTAATGTTTGATGTTTAAAAATAATATGTGGAGAGACCAATGTAACCACGGGGATGATGGATGATTTAATAGTAGAAGAGAGTTGCTCTTCACAAAATCTATCCAAACTTTTTAATGTAAAGTGAAAGAAAAAGATGCAAAAGGCAACTTTTCATTTCAATTTTGCAACTAAAGGATAGGCCCAATCATAATTATCCTAACAACTTTTATTTAAAAACTCAAGACACAAGAGAAAGAGTGAAGATATGCAGATTATAGGAGGTGTGAGCTCCAGTGTGAAGTTTTTCAATCAGTCTGATTATTTGGACAGTCAAGCTTCCAAGTATAAAGTGAGTGCAGTACTCTGTGCTTCTCTCTACCAACAAGCTTTAAAAAAGCCTCTTAAAGCTGCAGTAATCCCAGCTGCTTGTGCCTTTTTTATACATTTTTTCCTTTCATGTTACTTTCCATGCATATAATTTGTTAAAGCAAGGTAAACAACTAGCTTGTTTAGCAATAACCTTTTCATCTAACAATTGTTGTACCATTTGTCCAACATAACTAGATTAACCGTAAAAAATGCATGTACTAAAAATCTCTTACATATAAAATCCTTACTGTCTTAGAGAAACATGTTTTGGGGTTTTGAGTTGCAGCAAGCTATGAAAAAAAATCAAAATAAGCAAAAAATAAACACAGAAATTGCTTTTTTTTTTTTAGATGCACCCATGTTGCTTTAAAAATATCACATGCTCCACATGTCTACTATGAATTATATTAAACCGGTTAAAAAAACAAAACTGTTTCATTGGAGCAAGTAAACATTTTTTTAACTAGTAAAAAAAACATTGAAATATTTAGCCATTTAGAGGCTTTAAGTAGATCAAAGTAAAATTTTTTGCTCTATATTTAATGATGAACTTGAACTTATCTGAGTATAAGAAAATACAAACCATGTTCGGGAACACCATAAAAGCACAAACCCCAAAGGAAAAATAATTTAAAAACACACACACAAATGCATGCACTAATGGCTCAACAGTAAATAATTGAAGTAATCTAAGTGCCAATATTTTTCTTCTATAAACCTGGAGGGAAGTTAAGCCCAGTGACGGACATGCTGGTACGTTACTAGAGTCTGGACAGCAGGCAATCAAACAAGAGCGCTGTGGTTAAATATTCATGCAACTTTATTGGCTTAAAAGCATTACGGTCAACAACAGCTCATCGCAGATACCAGCCTAACAGTACCAGTGAGACAAACGGAGACAAATTAACTTGGTGGGCATTAAATGAGCGGGGAGCAGCAGGAATCAAATGATTTGGATGTGAAACGTGAGCCAGTAACATCAGCAGCCCTACATAATAGTGTAACTAAATGGTCTGGCTTTAAAGTGCTCAATTACATCACTGTCCTAAAAGTTTAAGACAAGCAGAACTTCAGGGGAGTTACGTAAACCGTTCAGTAAATTATTCACAAGCAGAGCGATTGAATAAAAGTGAGCCAAACACGGTTGCTCCTAAGAAGCCCACATCCACTCATCTAGGGTGCGAATGTCACATTGATTAGATGCCAAACGATTCATCTGAACTAACTCTTTGTTTTTTGTTTTTTTATAATAATACAGTAAACAACTTTAATTGATTTAAAAATGGAGTTGTTTGGAAAAGTTATTCTGAATTTTGCACATATTGCATAGAAGTCAAAATTATTGTATTCATTATGGTTTAAAACCTATTCTAAACAGGATTTATAACATAAAAACATACTTAAAAAAGACAGTTACTTTCTAGTATGAGGAGTTCCTTCACTGTGGACTGAGTGAGAAGCCCATGATGAGAAATAAAATATGTGATCAATACCTAAAATAATAATAATAATTCAACTTTTTATTGACCTCACATTGGAGAAATTTACCTCTGCATTCAACCCGTCCCCTTGGGCAGCAGTGGGTTGCCATTTTGGGGTCTATGCCCTAACCACCAGGCCGCCACTCCCCTTGTGTTTGAATTGCCTTGACTAAAATAAATCTCATCTAATCCTTGAAGTTTAATATAAATTTAAACATCTATGCTTCTTAAATCCTTGAGGATGTTTCGTTGGTTTTATGTTGGATAAATCTATTTTAGGGCCTTTTTTCAACATTTATCAAAAACCTGTGACATGGAAGAGCTGAAGGCTTTCAGAGGAAAACTGTTAAGGTGAAAAATACATACAGAAGTGATTGGTTGAGTATGTTTGGCAGGAATAAGGACGACGCTTTGAATCCTGACGATACTAGTTTACAAGGCTAAGAATATTGTGCAATCTGTGGTGGCTGAATCATGCTAAAGAGCTCTAAGCAGGCTGAAACAGATATTCTGTATCAACAAGGATGCTGTTCACACATCCATATTGGTTTTAGAACGCTTTAACCCTTTATAGAGCAAGTTACCATTTTTGATCACTTGCATACCCCTTACAAATGGAGTCCCCCCCCATCCTATATATCCAGCCATTCAGTTCTAGATAGATCAGCCATTCAAGATCTATATCCAGCCATTCAGCAAAGACCAATTAGATGATATCTTGAATGATATATTACCTACTGTTAATTAAGTTGAAAAAAAAAAAGTTAACAAGTTAAGAAAAAACAGGTAAAAAGCTAATTGAAAAAGTTAAAAAGTTAATAAGCCTAGTTAACAATTATATTTAGGTTTATAAACTTAAATTTAAGTGCCTGTATCAGCATTAACGCCTCTAAGTTTATGTTGGACCAAAAAAAAAAAATGGTGTGTTTTTCATGATTTCTTATAGAAGCACTTTTGTTATTTTGCTTAATATATTCTGGCAAGTTAGCGTTTCTTGTTATTACATTGACATTCATTTTTTAATGTTAAATATTGTCCTGGAGTCCAATAACACTACTGGCTTGAGCACTGGGGGAAAAAAATTGAAATCTAGATGAGCCATTTTTTTTTTCTTAAAATAAGTCAATTTGTTCTTGGAATGAGGAGGCAAAAGAGACAATTTACATTTAAAATAAGAAAACACAATTGCCTTGTCTTATTTCAAGTACATTTTATCTAATTATCTCATTTTAAGATTAAAAATACTCTACTGGCAAACTATGTCGTTTAACCTACTCAAATTGAGGGTAAATACACTTAATTTAATATATTTTTACTTATTTCTAGATCGTTTTTCCAGTGAAATGTTGATTTTCAAAGTATTTCACTGAGTGCCCTATAAAGGGTTAAGCTACAAATCTTTGTAAATGAGCACAACATGAAATCAAACTTAAAGCAGTCTCCTTAGAGAAGAAATCCTTTCCTGAAAACCAACTATATTAAGTCAGCTCTTCTTGCACTACCTAACAAGCCACTGAGCAACATTAATGCTAAATGCTTTTTGCCTGGAAGTGTAAAGTTTCAATGCACCTAAGAAAAGGTGGGAATGTAGGAATATATCTAATCCTGAGTAGAATAAACGTAAATTTAAACGTGACAACCAAAAATATTATTTCTAAAACCTCTGAACCATTCAGCCAACAAAATGAATAGTTCAAATAAACTGTTCCAACTATTACGAGACTCATTCTCATGGTGATTGTATGTAACCTTCTGATCTGGGTGTCAGATGGAGCGAACAATTATTGACTCACCTGTTCTTGCCCCATTGAGGGCAGGCCCGGCGAAGACCCCGACGCCATGGATGTGACGCTCATCTGTCCGCTCATCTGACCCATGCTGCTGGTAACCATGTTGGTGGCCATGGAAACGCTGTTGATGCCCATGCTGTTGCCGTTGTACATGTTGCTGCTGTTCTGCTGGGTGAACTGAGGCGACGCCTGCTGCTGCTGCGCGAACATACTGGGGAGAGGAAACGCAGCGGGAGCTGTTACACTGCTATGCACAGCACTTAGTGATAACTTATTTAAATGTTTAGAAACAACCCAACGTTATATTTAAATAGTTCCTGGAGCTTTTATGCACAATTCCAAGAACTCATGCAAAAGTCAAGTTCAGTTTTAACATTGCTTTGATAATGAAGGAAGTTTTTAGAGAAAATTAGAGGAGATTTTACAAAGGATCGATGAATATGCTCAGTTAAAGTTAGTTAGACTAGAATAGAACAGAGGGGTCTGGTCGTCCTTACCTGTTGCCCCCTATGTTACCCTGTGGCCATCCATTCATGTCAGGGGAACCCTGAAAGGCGGCGTTCTGTTGGCCCTGCTGCATCATGGGAGACTGCGTGTGGGCAATGCGTGGCGAAAGCAGGGGGCTCTGCGGCGTGCTGGCTCCTGCAAAACTCCCATCTGCTTGTTGTGTCAAACCTGCAGTGGATGAATTTAACCACGTCAACCACAGTTATGCTGTAGAAACGTAGCCAATTAAAGATTTTCAAAAAGAAACAGGAAGAAAAACGGTGTTGCGTGATAAAACGGATGCAGAATAAGGGTGGAGGAAAGTGCATTCCGGGTCATTCACAGGCAGCTGGCATTTCTTTTTACATGCTTTGTTAAATCAAACAGGCTCAGGAACAAGAGAGATGATGAAGGAGATTGTAAAGTAGGAGCTTTCATCATCGTTAAAAGCTCTTTAAGGTGTAAATATTTCAAATATTGACTGAGAAATCAGATCTCAATATCACCAACTATTCCAAAAAGCATGGTCAAGTTGGGAGGTAGTCGGGTGGATTTAGCGTGCTCTTACGCCATCTGGTGGAGTAAAAAGGCATAACTACAAACTCATTTATAGGATTATCATGACTGAGTAAAAGAATAGTCTTGTTTTACAGTTTATCATGATTAATAAAAAAAAAATGCATGAAATAATAGATCTAGGATATGATTTTAATTCAACTTTAAGTGATGCCTCATAACTACATTCACATCAGCACAAATTAACACACACACACCCGCACACATCCACACACCCAGGGGTTTTCAAATGAGGTGTGCTGTTGGGGGGTTGGGGGAGCAGTACCTGAGTTGGGAAACTGAAAGGCACTGTGCTGCATTTGGGGGCTTAGTACGGCCCCATATTGTCCGCCCATCATGTTTGTGTTTCCCATCATCATCTGTGAGGAGGAGGAGGAGGTGGAGGAAGAGGAGGTACCATGCAGGTGGAGCTGAGGGTTGGGGGAGAGAGGGGAGGAGAAGGGGCTGGTGGGGGGAGGTGACGAGGCCAGGCTTGTACCGGTACCGTAGCTGGGTGGGTAGGGGAACTGCTGGGGGGCGGCCTGGGGATTCCTGGGGTTGCTCATGCCTCCGGCCATGTTGAGGCCCTGGGCCCTCATGGCTATGGTCCGCTGCTGCTGGACCTGCTGGGCCTGTTGAGTGTGCTGCTGCTGCCTCTGCCTCAGGTGGTTACTGAGCAACTCCCGCTGACGCTGCGCCAACATATGAGCGTTGATGTTTCCCTAAAAGAAGCACCAGGCATTTGAAAAATGTAAGCAACACAGTAAATATGTCAGCTACAATTCACTTGCAATGTCTGAAAAAAGTATTCTTTCATTTCTGTGTCAACCTTTGTCAGAAAATTCAGATAAAAAAAATTTTTTTTCATGGCGTTAATGTGCCAAATTATTCAAATAAATAAGAGGACTTTAGAAATGTAGTCTTTAAGCCTTTGGTTTACTGCAAATCGTTAGGACGCTAAAATATAATAGAAAATGGTTGGTTCAAATGTTTTCCATTATGCTTTGCATCACTGTTTCATCAATGACAGAGCTTTGACCATGAAAATGAAGCACTATATATATCTGGCAAGTCAGATGGATCTGTTTACAATAGATGCCTAGCCCTTGTGTAGATGCAGGTGGATAGAAAAGTTTACAGTTTAGCGAGTCACAATGGCTGAGGGCAAGACATTTGGGAAAAATGTAGCAAAGAACAGCTAATGCTTTAAAAAACAAAACAAAAAAACCCCCCAGCACATATATTATTCAAAGATATTTTTGTTTCAAGAGAGACTACTTTCTACCACCAGGTACACAACAACCACATGAGGAAACACGCATAACCTTTGTTGTCACATTAAATAGAACCCCATAGAGCTGTATGAAGAGTTCCAAAAAGCTAGCGCTAGCAACATCTAGGTTGCAAACATTAGGACAGCGGTGACCAAACTACAGCCCACTGGCTAACAGCGAATTCTGAAAATATAATTGAATATGGCCCGCACAAAAAACTTGAGCTCAATTATGTTGCACTTTCACCACTAGATGGAACCATTTTTACACAGATTACTGTGTAGGATTGAAGAAATCTAAGCAGAAAAAGTAAAGCATGGTGAATCCTTTATGTTAATTTATATATTACAAGAGATATTTATATATTACAAGAGATATCATTATCGCAACATTAAGCTCTGTCAATGCACATTGCAGGTTTTCCTAGTTTTGTGCAGCCGATGCTAAAGCTCTAGTGATACCACGTTTGTGCAGCAATGATCATCAATGGCTGCTGTACCTGGTTTGAAGCATTAGCTCTTAGAGGTAGGTTCACAGTTGAGAGACCACTCATCTGAGTCATCATGGGCTGACTTTTCTGCTGGGAAAGAAGGAACAAGGATACATTTAAATACAAATACTAAGACTAGGTGATTTAAAACAAACTTCTAATTAATCATTTATTGAAATAATATTCAACTAATTTGATCATGAAATGAAATATTTAACTGGAGTGTACAGACTCTTGTGATTTGCTGAGAGAATAACCTAATCAGGGCAGTACTTAGGTAAAAATTCCAAAAAATATAATCCTTTGCATTTAAAGCTACAGTGTGTAATTTTTAGCGACATCTAACGTCCAGACTGCAGACCGCAGCAACATGAACATCTCCCCCCCCACCGCTTCTCCCCCCCAACAGTACGGCGAGTGTTACGGGACAAAATGTCTTCCACGACGTCCGCATCACCTACCTTCTCAAGTGATGAGGTTTGTTTACACAGATAATTTTACAGATAGTATTCTCAGGCATAATACTGCCATCTATTGTTCAGTACCATCTCAGTTCATCTCTCTCAACTTGCCGTAGTTACTTTCGAGCGTAATGGGCGATCTCGCAATCGCTAGTTTGTTGGCTCTGCGCTGCCGTAGCGCAAAGATGTCTGCCTCCATGGCTGCGAGACCCGCTCCTATGTAATTATAAATAACGAATTCTAAGGCAACGCAAATATTAAGGTTAAGAGGCTGAGCTCGTAGATGATGATAAATAACAGTTATGTATAATATATTACATTTCTGACTGTATATCCCTGTAATTATTACACACTGTAGCTTTAAGAAAAAAGTCCATTGTCTGTAAATATGCTTTCTATTTCTGTAAAACTTTTTCTGCACAGTTATTAATCGTAAAAACAAATTGGTCAACATATTAAGAAAATAATTGCTTTATTTCTGTTTATGTCCAGCGACAAATGAAGACGTTATCATATAAATTGCAATAATTTAAGAAATTTTTGTTTTTACCATTTACAATTTATATGAAATTTGGCATAAATGTTTTTTTAAGTTTAAAATGAGTGTTTACTGAAGAATGTTAATCCACTAAAACTAGCTTCTGATTGAAAGATAAATAAAAAAAAACAATTACAAAAACCATCGATAGGTGCAGCCTAGGCATGAAACAACTATTTTGAAAATTGATTAATCTGTTGATTCATTTTGTGATTAATTGATTAATAATCTGATAGTCAAAGGTTCCTTAAAGATTTTTTTTATTTTTATTTTTTTACAATTTTGGTATAATTACTGCTCTAATTGGGTCACTCTATGAGCTAAAAGCATGTTTTTGAGTCTCTATACTCCATTTAACAATTAATCTATTACTAAATTAGTTGATGATTATTTTAATCGATTAATCATGATTAATCTGATTGTTTCAGCTCTACTGCAGTCCTTGTTATCATGGAATTACGAATATAAAGTGTAAGGTTACTAGCCAATAGGGTTGTCACGATACTAAACTTTTCAACTCGATACCGATACTAAGTAAAATATTCGATACTCGATACCATTTTCGATACCACAAGGATAAAAACAAAGACTCCAAAATTCAACATAAATTTTTTCATTAATAAACAAAATACAATAAATAGATAAATAAATACAATAAACAATATTTTGAGGTCGTATGCTGTGCACAATATTAAGCAAGCTTGATAAAAAACACTTACAAAATTAAAATTAAGTGTTCCTTCCTTTGGCTATTCTTTACACACATAGCAATGACACTAGCCAAACCAGTTAAAAAACAAAAATAATCCTCAGCAGCTGCACCTGTTACAGAAAAAAGTCTGAAACCAAAAAGCGTACAGAATTATTCAATCACACAGTGTTCAGAAAGTGCATCTTCCTCTAATCTGCGCATAAGATGAATGACTGCTTAGGTGCCACTGGTGGTAGCACTGTATCGATACTTTTAAAAACGAGTATTGTATCCGGATACAACTTTTCAATATCGATACTTTTTTGAGTATCGATACTTTTGACAACCCTACTAGCCAAGTAAGAGTGTTTTATCTGTAGCACAGTTGGATTTAAAAAAGAAAGGCCTTTGCGTCTAAATTTGCATAATCAGAGGCTTCCAATTTGTAAACCTCAAGGACGATTACATAACCTCTGTCTGTTTATTCAGTCGCCCAAAAAAAGATAAAACGCTGAAGTCCAGAGTGGATCAATAAGTTTCATGTCACGTTCAGTCATGTCAAGGCACTCAGGGTACCTGTTGTGACTGAAGCCGATGCTGAAGCTGCAGCCGTAGTGCATTGGGCTGGTTCGGAGCGACCGCACCCGGCCTAAGCCCGGGCCGTGACTGCATCCTCATCATGGGGTAGCCTGGCCGGGGGCCCATCTGGCCGGGCATTGGATGAAAGCCGGGCTCCTGCATGGGTGTGCCGGCAAAGCCCCTCTGCACCATGTGGGAGGTCTGAGGGCCGAATTGCTGCGCGTACATGGGGGGCTTCTGGTCTAACATGATGGAGGGGTCTTGGGAGAACTGGTCTGGTTCCAGTGACTGGCTCTGAAAGAGGAAACAATCCACAACATTCATGAATCCAACAAATGACTGCACCTGGCTCAGGATTCAGCTAATTTTCATTTGCATTTTATAACAATGTACAGCATAAATGCCCATTTCTGTCTTTTGATTTTTTTTTTTTTTTTTAGGATCATGTGCTTTTCTATTCAGACTTAAAGACTTAATCGTTTCTAGAACCACATTTAGCTGCTGTTACAGCTTTAAGCCTTTAGCAGGAACTCTCAACAGGCTTCAACATTTCTCTTTATTTCAACAGCCTGATATCAATCAGACTAGCTGGAAGGTATCTTGTCATGTTTCCAGTTAATTCCAGTCTGAGCTTTGACTGGTAATCTTTAATACAAATATACTAAACCACTTATCTGCAGGCTGAATAGTAAATACAGTCTGTAGCATAATATTCAGACCTTTTTCAAACCAATTTAAAATGTATGCACTGCTTGATCTTGGTTTATCACATAATGGCATTAATATGTATATAGTAGGTTATATTTGTAGCATGACCAAATATTAAAGCTTTCAGGTGGAATAACTACACTTTATGGAAGAAAGTATTACCTGTTCGACCAGCGCAGGGATCCCTAGAGCTCGATCTATCTCTTCTAGACCGTCAAAATCTTTTAGGGCAGAGTACAGCTGAGACATCAAGGCACCTTCATCCACTGCACTACCATCACTACCAAGATTCGGATTGCAAAGGAGATCATCTTGCTGTGCCGGCCTGTAGGAAAAGGAACAAAAATGGCTACTTTTCAGTCATGTTACAGAAAGGCTTAGAAAAGTGTTTCATTTGGGATTAAAAGGCTCACCTGTTCTGGTTTGCAAAAGCTGTCCGATCAATTGGCATCATGCTATCGGGCCAGGGGGCCGTCTGGTTGGGAGGAGCCTGCTGCTGGGAGAAATGGTGGCCAACAATGCCAATGTCCATATCAGGTTGCGCTAAAGATAAAGGCAATAAAAGGTTAAAATAATTATCAGAGAGATGCCAAGAGATAAAATCGTGTTTTTGAAACTCTTTCAAATGAGCTACAAAGCTAAGAAAAGGCAGGTATAAAATCTATAAAACCTTTATCAACCTGTTACACTGAACAACCACAAGATGGCATGCTTAACAACTGTGATGAGGTAGTGAAACTATAGAGGGGTGAACTGAGGTCTTCTTCCCCATGCTTCAGGGGCTTTAAATGGGTGATAACATGAACAACAGATTTAACATCTCTTATCCACGTTCTCACTTCTGGGTTTTTCAAACTAGCATGTTTGAAATGTACTCTCACCATTGGCCATTATCGGAGACTGGAGCATCGGTCGGGGTCCCGGCTGGCTGTTTGGCCTCATCGGGGCAGTGCCGGGTACCATCCGACCTTGCATGGCACCTTGTTGTCCCGGTGCAGATGCTCCCATGGGAGGAGCAGAGGCTGAACTGTTCCAGCCCTCCTGCTGCTGCATGCCTGGCCGCGGACCACCTGCGGCCATCATTCCTGGGGGAAGGAAGAAAGCGGATGCAGAGATGACAAGTGGTGAGAAAACTGATTTTTGAGAATGACGTGGGCACCCATGATGTGGTGCCCAGGGTTCAGGGTGAAGGCCGAAGCTGTCTATGCAGGGCTGGGAGCTGTCTGAGGAGTATTGATATGTGGGAGACGCAGTGAGAGAAACTTTGCTATTGTGTGGGCGACTATTTCCTGTCACAGGAAGTGAGTCAGTGTGTCATGATGTTGATAGGTTAGGGTGAGAGACGCAGAGGCAGAAGGGAAGGAGTCTCCTCAGATGGTTGGAATCAAACAATTGTGTCAGTTTAAACACATTCAGTGATTCACATCATTTTGATGAGATCAACCTGCTTAAAAACATGCTAAAACAATTAGGTTTAAACTGATTGGATGTGAAAAGCTTGTTAGACCTACCTGAATTGCTCATACCGGCCTGGTTGGGCATGATACCATGACTTCCCAACATGCCTTGCTGCTGTTGTATCAACGTGTACGGGCTGTTGGCCCTAACGGGGTACTGCAATGATGGCTGCTGTGGGGGCACGTTCATGTCCAGAGAGACACTCCTCAAAGGCAAACTCCTGCCTTGTTGCCCAGGTCTGACAGCACCAAAGTCTAAAAATAAAAAAGAAACGGGTTTAACGCTAGAAATGCGGAAACGCACACAAAAAAGGTTGTTTCCAAGAATTTGAGCTGGACTTACTAGTCTGACCCATGCCAGGTCCCAGGCCTCTTTGCTGCTGCTGCGCAGCCATGGCCGGGTTGTTCTCAGAGAGCTGCAGGATGTCATTTAAGAGGATCTGTTTGTCCATGGGACTGGGTAACGAAACCGGCCGCTGCTCACAGAAGAGCTGCGGCTGAGCATTCTGCAGGTCGTTAAGGATGTCGTCGAGCTCCGATGACTACCAGACCGAGACGAAAGGGGAAGAGAAGCAAAAACTGAATCAGATGAGGCATGTAGAAATTTTAGTGGACAAATTGAGCACCCTCTGTATAAACTAGGGCTTAAACAATTAATTGGATTAATCGATTAGCTGACAGAGCAACCCACTTAGAGCAGCAATGATATCAAAATTGTAAAAAATAGACATTTTAACATTTGCATTTCAGATGAAAATCTTTTTAGTCTTTCAATATGCTCTGTCCAGAACTCCACAAGTGGAAAAGATTTAGTTTCACCTGGTTTAATTTCAAAAAAATATTCTTAAAGGAACCTTTTACTATCTGATTATTAATCAATTAATCGCAAAAATACTAGACAGATCAATCGATTTGCTAAATATTTATTAGTTGCAGCCCTAGTAGAAACCTTTAGAGGTCATAAGACAAACGAGGTTGATATTTCAGCGGCCCAAAAGTTGGACAACTAAGGCTACGTCACAATGCAGATTTTTTTTGGCCTATATGCGACCTGGATCTGATCTTTTCATGGCAGTATGAACAACATAGATCCGATTTTTTCCAATCCGACCCAGGCCACTTGACTATGTGGTCCTAAATCCGATACGAATCTGATCTTTTCAAATGCGACCTGTGTCTGAGAGGCCAGGTCGGATTAACCCGACCTGAACGTCATTAATACCCAACAAAGGTCACTATAATGAGTCTTGCTAGGCAGAAGTGGCAAGAAAAACAACAACAATGGCAGATGACGATGCGGAGAGCAGTATTTATGTTTAATCATATTGAAAAGATAGTGTTTTTATGGTTGGAAAAGACCACTAGATGCGTGCTGGCGCTACCATCCATGTTTATTTCTGGGAAAAAAAAAAAAAAAAAAGCACACTGGCCTGTGATGTCATTGCATCTGCTACTGTGCATGCGGGACACTTGCGTTGTATGACTGCAGTTCACACAGGAGGCATACAAGTCATACATACAATTCGCATATATTTGGAAATATGAATGGCAACGCGAAAAAATCGGATTTTACAAAAAAAAAAAACAGAATTAGCATCAACGCCTGCAGTGTGAACTAGCCTAAGCTCTTTTTCCTCGATAAAAAAGCGCCTGTTGGAGCTACGGCCATCAAGTGTTTTTTCTGGACTCGTAAATACAACTACTCTTGACCGCCTAAAAAACGTTGGAGTGCTTCGAGCACATGCGCACAGTGGAGCAGACCCATCACTGCTGCACTTTAAAATTGCAGCAGTGATGGGAATTGCTCATTTCACTGCTAAGCTGCTCATTCACTGTTGAAAAAGGCGAACGCATCGAACACAAACTCTGTGTATACAAAATGACAATGAAGTTTATCTAAGTCACAGTCTAAAAAAAAAGTCATTTAATGAGTATGCAGGGAAGAAATGCTTGCAGGGAAGAAATGTTTGAAAATGTTTATGAAGAGCAAAGAAAATTAAAAACTTTTGAGTTAAAATAAAGTATGGAAATTATTGGTGTTTATGAGACCATAGGGGCTGAAACTGAACATTTTTTGCAAACTGTATTTTATTGACAAACCTACAAATGCTTCTGTGTATGTAACGTAAATCCCTTTACTATCCAACAATGTGGAAATTCACTCTATATTTTGACCCATCCCGTTGGGGAGCAGTGGGCTGCCATTGTCTGGCACCCGGGGAGCAGTTTGGGGTCAAGCATTTTGCTCAGGAACCCAGAGTGCAGGCTTTGGGGATCGGACGGCTACTTGCAACCTTCTCAGTGCACAAGCGCACTGCTCTAGGCCAACACTCCCTACCAGGATTTATAACAATGTCTAACAGAAAATAGCAGTAAAACAAATAATCACTCTAAAGAAGTTTATTGAAAGAACCAAAGGTCAGTCAGATATAAAAAGTTACTTTTCACAACCTTTTATCTTCAACAAGGACAACGCCAAGGTAGGAGGGAGCTTCACTTGCTTCAGAGAAGGGAGTGAGGGATCAGGGACATAGTTGCTGTTTTTGGAAAATGGAAGCGTCTCACCACAGATAATTGGTTTTTAGGAGACAAGGCAGGCATTTCCAGATAGTGACGCCCTTGTGGAGCCTCCTCACTGATAAAGCAGCACAGATAATTCCTTGGACTTTCTGAAATGGTTAAAGATAGAAACTTGCTTCGATACATAACTGTTCATTATTGTCCCGGTACTTCTGGCACTTTGAGTCATCTGTAAAGCAAAGGTAGACCAACAGGATGTTTGCTTGACATGAAGGAGCAGCTGCCTTCTAATGGCCAGATACAAATGTATAGGAAGAGCAAATCAAGGAGAGATTAAAATGATCTCCCTTTACCCACAAGAAGATAATCACTGTCATTTAAACTGGATAAGACTGCAAATCTAACCAGGTCATATGGTTACCGTCAATATTCTAGTATGAGATAAAGAAACATGATCCACCTCGTTTTCAGAACCACTTCACCTTAGCTTTCATCTTCTAAAGGTTAATATATGCCCATTTACCATCTAGTAGGAGTTTAAGATATGAAGTTATCAAAAGAAACAGGAAATAAAATGGGAAAAAAAAATGTTTTAAGACCAACTTAAAGTACAGGTGCTGGTCATAAAATTAGAATATCATGAAAAAGTAGATTGATTTCAGTAATTCCATTTAAAAAGTGAAACTTGTATATTATATTCATACATTACATACAAACTCATATATTTCAGATGTTTATTTTGTTTAATTTTGATGATTACAAATGACAACAAATGAAAATCTCAAATTCATCATATCAGAAAATTAGAATATTGTGAAAAGGTTCAAAATTGATGGCCCCTGGTGCCACACTCTAATCAGCTAATTAACTCAAACCACCTGCAAAAGCCTTTAAATGGTCTTTCAGTCTAGTTCTATAGGCTACACAATCATGGGGAAGACTGCTGACTTGACAGTTGTCCAAAAGACGACCATCGACACCTTGCACAAGGAGGGCAAGACACAAAAGGTCATCGCTAAAGAGGCTGGCTGTTCACAGAGCTCAGTGTCCAAGCACATTAATAGAGAGGCGAAGGGAAGGAAAAGATGTGGTCGAAAAAAGTGTACAAGCAAGAGAGATAACCGCACCCTGGAGAGGATTGTGAAACAAAACCCATTCAAAAATGTGGGGGAGATTCACAAAGAGTGGACTGCAGCTGGAGTGAGTGCTTCAAGAACCACCACACACAGACGTATGAAAGACATGGGTTTCTGCTGTCGCATTCCTTGTGTCAAGCCACTCTTGAACCACAGACAGCGTCAGAAGCGTCTAAAGAGAAACAGGACTGGACTGCTGGTGAGTGGTCCAAAGTCATGTTCTCTGATGAAAGTAAATTTTGCATTTCCTTTGGAAATCAAGGTCCCAGAGTCTGGAGGAAAAGAAGAGAGGCACTTCATCCACGTTGCTTGAAGTCCAGTGTAAAGTTTCCACAGTCAGTGATGGTTTGGGGTGCCATGTCATCTGCTGGTGTTGGTCCATTGTGTTTTCTGAGGTCCAGGGTCAACGCAGCCACATACCAGGAAGTTTTAGAGCACTTCATGCTTCCTGCAGCTGACCAACTTTTTGGAGATGCAGATTTCATTTTCCAACAGGACTTGGCACCTGCACACAGTGCCAAAGCTACCAGTACCTGGTTGAAGGACCATGGTATCCCTGTTCTTAATTGGCCAGCAAACTCTCCTGACCTTAACCCCATAGAAAATCTATGGGGTATTGTGAAGAAGAAGATGCAATACACCAGACCCAACAATTCAGAAGAGCTAAAAGCCACTATTAGAGCAACCTGGGCTATCATAACACCTGAGCAGTGCCACAGACTGATCGACTCCATGCCACGCCGCATTGCTGCAGTAATACAGGCCAAAGGAGGCCCAACTAAATACTGAGTGCTGTACATGCTCATACTTTTCATGTTCATACTTTTCAGTTGGCCAACATTTCTATAAATCCTTTGTTTTTATTGGTCTTCAGTAATATTCTAATTTTCTGATATGATGAATTTGAGATTTTCATTTGTTGTCATTTGTAATCATCAAAATTAAACAAAATAAACATCTGAAATATATGAGTTTGTATGTAATGTATGAATATAATATACAAGTTTCACTTTTTAAATGGAATTACTGAAATCAATCTACTTTTTCATGATATTCTAATTTTATGACCAGCACCTGTAGACTGTCCGTCAGCTGATGAAGGGTTAGGCCACTACTCCTTGAAAATAAAGATCTGGTTTTCATGTCATTGTCTGTAAGGCATCATAACCACCATAAGCACCTTATGGCATAAAAAAAGCTTTCTGTAGACATTAAAACATTTCTACAAGATCCAGAAGGTTATGGGAATGCACCAACAAAAATAATCCACCTGCATACAAGTTTAGGATCCACGTGCATCTGCAAAGGCCCAAATTAAAGCCTTAACTTATAAGACTGCATCTGCAAATGCATAGTTCAATGATTAAAATAATAAATTAAAAAATGAAATAAAATATGCAAATGCCATATTTATTTCCACTTTACAAACTGTCCTCTTTGGATTCTACAACTGAGCCACATAAATGGGCCACTGAAAGATGGAAAAAAAATAAAATCCTTAATTTTCCGGCCCGAAGTCTGGGAAGTCCCTTCCCAGGTTTGATTCTTCTTTTCTTTTTAACTAACACCCCTAAACTTTTTATGAGTTGAATAAAACTGTGTTTTGGGCTTCAATAAATTATCCAACTAAACATTCCCTGGGAGCTCTAGTAAATAAGTTGCAGATGCTGTAACTGTCCAGCAGAGAGCAGCGTAGCTGGACCAATATTTACAGATGGTAATGTACTGTAGAACAGCAAAGCACCACAGTATCCTTTACTGTTGCTTTTCTGTTTCCCATACAGTGACTTTTTCTTTTTTTTTTGTCAGCCATGTAACGTTTCTTGGATATGACAGGGTAGCCAAAAAAATGTCTGACACAATATTTATCTGAAAAGCTCAAGGTC